GAAGTGTGAAGAGCCAGGGAAACAGCATCGTCAGTGGGCCAGTTACGGTCGTATGTGTCACAAACAGTTCTTTCGGGGCCCGAAAGACGACACAATCCGGAACAGTGGGGAAACACTGGGGTAAAAGTCATGCAGGAGACGGGAATGGAGACAGGGGGCGTGTCCTTGGTGTGCAGGTGTCCAGGGGAAGTGAGTCCGGGGCGAACAATCCAAGTAGAAGTCCAAACGGGGAATCCAAAACAGAAGCATAAGTCCATGGCCAGGCAATCCATCCGGGAGAATAAAAATGGGAACCGGGTCGGGACCAGCGGGGGGAACAGGAACAGAAAGTTAAAAGCATGACGGAGCCGGACGGAGCCGGACGGAGCCGGACCCAGGCTCACATGAAACGGGATTCAATGTAGAGCCTCGAATGACGTGAGCGCCTGGCTTTTAAGGCAGACTGAAAGAGGGTTAGAATTAGGAACAGGTGCGGTGAGTGAGACAGAACAAGGAAGGGCTGGAGCGCCCTTAAGAGAAGGGGTTAGCGATCGTGACAGACTGCAGGTACCTCATGACCAGCCATTCAAAGTATTTCATTATGGTAGACATTGGAAGCCCTTCTTAACAGGAACAGGTGCCTGGAATATCTTCCCAGTCATGTTATTGAAGCTGATTCTCTGTGGTTCTTCAAATGATGACTAACTGAAGTTGGCAATCAAATGGAGGTTTTGCAGTCCTTCCTATGTCCTCTTATCACAATATTGTTTTAAATGTAATACAATAAGATTAACAATGAGTCCTTTCCAAGCAAATTCTGTTTATACTGTACAGCATATCCTGTATTTCTACATTTTAACCTTATGACTGCACAACATTTTTTTTGTCTTTAGAGAATTGAGTAGCTTCATCTCTTAGTTGATTGAATTACACTCTGTCATCATCTTGTTAATGAAAATCCTTCTTGCTGTCTATAAGAATGACTTGAAATCACCTGGAGGGCAGATGAGATCTCCATTTTTGGTATTGTATCAAAACCAGTTTGACGTAAATTGTTCTTATTTCCTTATCAAGACTAGATGAAGATGTTCGTGCTCAAACAGGAAAACTGAAATTAAGGAGGTGCAGTGTGGTTTCTTTTTTCGGGTTTTGGGGGACAAAGAAACATCCATGCGTCCATCTTCTAAACTCTTTATCCAGTACACGGATGTGGGGTGCTGAAAGCTATTGCAGAAAGCAACCTTCACAAGGCAGGAAACACCTCAGAGCACCTCAGGATTTGAACCCAGGTCCCAGACCCAGGTCTGTTAAGAAATGCATGGTAAAGCTTTAGGAGGGAGGATCATATATGACAATTTTATTTTTAATGGAATGGAGGCAGTATAGTATTTCCTCCAGTACTCATGTACAGCACTCATTGTTACACAGAAGAAGATCAACACATTTACTATCAGCATCCATGAGTGAAGAATGAAGCCAATCGGGCAAGCGAGCCACCAAAAGCATTCCTTCTCCAACCTCTCCCAGGTGAGGGAGGACAATTCTAGTCATTTTATCATTTAGTTTTTGTTTCTCAGATTAACAGTTACAGTATATCGGTTGCTTAGAGGTGATAGCTCTCCCCTTCTAGTCTTTAATTTTTAGATAGATAAATAATTCTTATTGATTCATTTAGAAATTAATATTGGAAAAAAAAGATGGTATGGTTATGTCAATGCTTAAGTGGTTACACATTTAATTTTAAGCTGATCTTTTTTCACCTTCATTTTGAGACTCTCAAAAAATGTAACATTAAGGCGAGTATTTGGGAGAAGGTCTGACAGACAAAAGAACGATGCAATACCTTTTTAAGGCCATGTACTAAAACCTCAAGGGATTATTTGAGAAGCAAAGCTGTTGGTGGTACCCAGGGTTCTCACTTAATTTGTATTGGTGCATGCAAAGGGAATCCAGGTACATGACCAGACTGGTTTGTGCTTAACTATTGTACACCTACAGGGATTGTATCACATGAAGGTGCAGAGTGGCACATAGCATAGCAAGTTGGTGTAGCTTGTAACAAAAGTGGTAAATATTAATACCAACAATAAAATAATAAAACAAAATGTAAATCATGCAACTGTATAATATAAACAATGCTTTTTTCTGTTTATGTGCTATGATATACAAATGAACATGATGGTTTGAAGAGCTTTTGAGACCACTATATTCATACTGTTTAAGGAAAACCCTGTGACCACATGCACTGAATAAAGCAGGTGTTAATGGTAAAAATAGAGAAATACAGAGCAAAACTTCAAATTTACAACTTATGTTCTGTATGTAGCTTGACCTATTTATTTCTCACATATTTTGAGGCTGTTAAGTCTTTTTGAACATTCAGGTGTATTAGATTTTATAACACTTTTTAAAAAGAGTTAAGCTATGTGCATAATAATCACAAAAAGTAAAACAAAATAATTTCAACATACCTCAAGCATTTCCTGTGAATTCTAGGGACATTCTTAAGCCAGAAAGATGTTAATAACAGAAAACAAACACATTCTTAATCATATCAATGCTGACTAAATCCCACATTAGGGACAAAGAGCATTTGTGTTGTGTGCCCATTTTGACAGATCAGTCCAAGAAATTACATTCCATACCTACGAAGTGTACATCAAATTATGAAATGTTTATTGCATAATATTGGAGTTTCAAAGCTGAAAATGTTATCTGTTTTCAATTGGTTACAGATTCTAGATCACACTTTTGTTTTTCCTTGACAGGGATCAATGTAAAATGCTCATCTTACACCGTAACAATAGACCCTTCTGAAAACCAACTCAGCTGTTACTGTAAGTGTCCTCAGTGATTCCCTGTAAAGATTAAAAAAAGCCAAAGGCTAAAAGTACTAAAAGTATTAAAAGGGAACAAACAATAGGATCTCAACTTGTCTCAGTATCATACTTACCTTTCTGTTTGAGAATTACCCAACACCCAAAAGTTAATTATTTGTATCATTTTATCCATGTTTTGCCATCTGAAAGGTATCAGCAACCGCTGGGCACCAATATGCAGCTGCACTTTAAAAACTGGACTCAGAATTCTTATATGGACTTATTACAAGCTTATCAAGCAAGGAGCTCCAATGGAAACTATAGAATCAGAGTACACTCAAAAATCACATGTTGCAGTATGAGTATGAGGTGTAACATCTGATGAGTGATGTTTTTCAGTTGCCTGTGAGCCCAGTTGATCAACAATTTAGTCAAATTCTACAATGGTGAAGTGAGTAGAAGAAATCATGAGGACTTCCAGGTTTTTTAATTAAAAAAACTCCTAGATGTCTTTAATGCACACAACTAGTGGAGAGGTACTGTAGGTTTAGAAAACATGGCTGTATCTCTAGACTAACTTTGACAATGAACAAGTACTCGCTCACTATAATTCAAATTAATCCTAAATTTCACCAACCCTTAATGTCATGTGGAGCTGTGGTAGCTCAGTTGGCAAGGGTGTCTAGCTCCTGCCCAGATTGTCCCAGATTCAATCCCAGGTAGGAGCAAGCGATATAGCTTGCTCTAATTCCTTCCAAATGGCTCCCAAGTACACTCAGCCTTCTTTCCAAGTCAGTACTGGGTGTTAATCCTGCTGGGGGTAAAAGGCAGGCCGGAGTGTGATGTTGACCACATCACCTCCACCTCTAGTGTTGGATGGTCAAGAAAGTGATGACTCTTGCCCCCCATTCCCCATGGTCCTTTATGGCCTGAAAGGGTACCGACCTACCTACAGTACCTTAATGTCATGTGTTTACTGGTTAGAAGAATAGATCTGCAGTAGAAATTAGAGTAATAAATTAGCTTTGATGATGAACAATCTAGTATGTCAATATCCATTTACAGTACTTGCAATAATACTTCATTTATTTGATTTCCAATTTAAACATATTCTTTTATTAGTATAGTGGTTGGTGCAGTATGTTGCTTTTCACCAGTTCTCTTTCTTGTGCTCTAGATGTGGTATCATTTCACCACAGTCAACTGTAAAGAAGTTGAATATTGAAGCATCTTGATCAGCCTGTTGCCCCAGAGGTACAGTAGTCATGGACTGTGTGCCTTTGTTCGTGTTTAGAGTTGTGTGTGAGAGTGCATTTGGCACTCATGAGCGGCAAGAGAAAAAGGTGAGGATTTAATTTCACACTTATTGTTACAGTAACTGGAAATCAAGATAGTTTCTTTTTCACTTTGGTGCCAGAATATGTACCAGTACGGACTGCTGTACTTTGTCAATTTCAGTGTGATCTACAGCAGTGACAGGCAGGAGGCTTGAGTGTTTTCTTTCACGTCTGTGTCCAGTTTTGCACATGTCACAAAATAGTATAAATCATGACCTTTGCATTGCTACTGTCAGCATTCAATATTCCTAGGAATCTTGGATGAAAACCTGGTATGAATAACAAGTGACTAGCACCTGCAATTTAATTTTATTGCTCATTCACTTGAAGCTGTACAAAAACATAGCAATGGACTGTATTTCTTGTCCAATCGTAACTGAGTTACATTATTTTTAATAAAAGGTTATAGCTGATGCCTAACAACATTTATAATGGACTGAACAGAGAGATATTAATTGAAGAAACACAAAAGGCCCTTTAGCCCAGTTTTAGATATGTATTAAACTAATTATACTTTGCAGAAAACATCAAAGAAATTAAATTATTAAATTAAAAATGTTTTTGTTATTCTCTCCTTTGTTAGCAGTTCCAACACCTTTTGCTGAGAGACTCTTTACCACGTGTTGCACCTCAGCGTTATAGTTTTTGACAACTAGCACACAATCAGTTGCCATTAATTTTTTTTCAATATATATTTCCAGTGTGTTCTCTCATTTAACAAGCTTAGTCATGCTAAGTCATGAAGTTGTAGGGCAGATAACTTCAATGAAAAACAAACACAAAACGTATGATTAATGAGCATTGAAGGTGGGACAAAATGGGATTCAAGTCATATTATCTTGCTGCACAAGAAATGAAGAAGTAGTTGCATTTGAATATTTTTATTGAGTATTTTAATTGTATTGACACTTGACTTAGATGAGGATTTAAACAATAGGTAGCCGTAGATGGTTGAGAAATGCATGAGATAACATATAAAAACAAAATTAGTATGAGTACGATATCTATAGCAGATTACAAGTGACATAGGAAATGATTATGATTTAAAATAGCTAGCTTGTTTTTTATCATCCCAAACTTCTCAGTGCTTACACAAAAGCATGAACGATTTATAGGATACAGATATATTCAAAACATATTCAAATAAAAAAGGTAGAGTATTAGAAAGAGTGTGATGACTCCTGATAGCAATGAGGTCCTTCCAAACTGCTGATCTTTATTAGAACTAGCACTTTTAGAGGTTTTGCAAAGTTCTTCAATGGAGAGGACTGAAAGGGTTAAAGATAGAACCCCATGCATAAAATGAAGTAAGGCCCTTTTCTGCTACTCTCCTACACGTACTGTAGAACTATGTCTTTCATTACACTGATTTGATACATTTGATAAGTATCAGGAAGCTAGCTCTATCTAGTGGAAAGGTGTGTAAAGCTCTTTCTGCAGATTTCCCTCAGTCACGCAGGCTGCAATAACTGTTGCACTTGCTGTAAATAATCATTGCAAATACATTTTCTACTGATATAAAACACATACAATTACTAATGTCTACAGTGTGTATCATACATATGCTTTACTTTCCAAATGTCTTTACTTGCCAAAAATATCAGTAACCTAAAAGAGATGTTGAATACTGTATACGTTCCGGAATAAGTGTTGGAGATAAAAACTAAGATGTTTCAGGATGCTTCATAATGAATACACTGGTTCTGTCACTTCTGGAGTTTAAAAACTCGGAGAAGGTCAGATCCTAATCTCTTTCACATTGTCTCTCCTATGTGTATATTTATATTCTCGCCTAGCAGTCTAGCAATTTCTGATGTCATAATTTTTCCACATGTATTTAGTTAAATTACAACTTCAGAGTGATTACGATGAGACTTGGAAAACAGTCCAGTCCATAAGCATAATATCAAGACGGTCTTCTAAGGAAAAAAGTATTGAACAAAACCTGTAGACCAAAGCTCACACTGCAATTGTGACTAAACTGTCTGGCAGTAGGATCAGAGGTCAAACATGAACAGTTTTGAGAAGTACATGCCTAAGACAGACCCGGCTATGATACTATTTGTGTGCCTGTGATTAAAATAAGATCTACAGTATATAAATATGTAAATACCCTAACTACCTTTATTGTGTCCTTATTACCATGCATATTTGAACAATATTCATTCTTAAAATTACTCGTTAAGATAGTAAGAAGACTGAATAAACAGGAGACAAGAAAGATACAGTAAAATTCATAATAAATCCTAATATCACAATCTGTTTAAGTATTATATTTTTTGTATTTTACCAGATGTTTTAAACTGGTTTTGTGTATCACATATTTCTTGCCCAGAAGGATGAGCCTCTGCAGAATGCTCTTGAATGTTTAATCCCCTTCTGCCTTTCCTCTTACATTTTTATAGTTTACCCTTAACCTGCTGGGTACTGGTACGCAGAGGAAACACAGAGGATGTCACATATGTGTGGAAATTTGAAATATAGTAAATGGAGACCTAGTGGTGAACGCATTATGTGAACTCTGTTCCCATAATCAATGGAGGGAACTCACTCCACTACTTGCTTTTTAAGTAGTAGACCTTTCCATAACTTAAAAGTTTTATCATGAGGCCCATAGGTATTTAGATCAAACTGAATTGACATAAGTCTTGTGTAGCTCAGGGGAAGGATGTAATCCATTCTGACCAATGACAATGGCATGTGAAGGATCTGATCTTTTTCGAAGGTTGGCTGCAGAGTTATTAGAATGAGATTTTTTCTATTGTCACCTGATGTATAGATTAAATAGCCAAAAGCACATTCATTGCTTTAGATATAACAAGTACAACTGTGTTTGTGCCCGGGAGACAGCACTAATCAATAGAGTTTTTTCTACTGCACTCTGGTTTGGTTGCACAACTGGGTTAATGACAAACACTATCTTCCTCTCCAAGCCTGAGAACCTCCGAATGGAATCCAGAACTATCGCATTTGTGCCAAAATCATTGGCTTTGACATGGTTAATACTTTTCTTACAAAAACCAAGAACAGGCAAGTACATTTGAACATCACTATCTGTAGAGCAGAGAACAGCAATATCTTTTTGAGTATAGCCATTGTCAAGGAGGGTCACTATTTTATTCAACAGAAACTCTTCAATTTCCTTCTTATTTTTGGTATATTTTTCAAAGACCCCTTGAAAGGAGTGAGCACACGTGGCTTTTTCACTCATTTTCTGTAGGTGTTGCAGCGATGTACCCTCATTTGCTTCCTTCATGACCTCAAGAATAAAACTGTGGATGCTCCTGCTGTTTCGAACACCCACTGTCAGCTCCAGTTTGGGGTCCTGCACGGTTGGCATCCCATCTTTATAAGGGTGGCTCTTCTGAAAGTAGTCCAGGAAGATCCATAAGACACCAGGATCAGAATCTTCCACAGAATCCTGGCATGTGATCCTTTTTACCTTGCCATACCAATCCCCGTCTTCGACACGGAAATTCTGGGCCTCATCCACAACAATATGTTTTACGTACTGTATGTCATGGTTAGATGGCTTCATAAAAGCACTCCTTGTTAGACACTTGCAAAGATTTTCTTTCCTATCAAAGAATCAAGAAACAATGTGTAAGACTTTCATTAATTACAATTTGACTTGACTTAGAAAATGATTTAAGCATTAAGCATTCATCTAATGATTCTTTAGTAAGAATATCTTCATAACTTCCTTTAACACATTTGTTGCATGTGCTTAGATTCTTATGCTATGCTTCCATCTGCGACTAAATCTTTGCATAACGAAACTTTCTTAACAATAAAGTTTCAGTTCAATTCATCGCAGCCAAAGTTACTCAAATATTCAAAGCAAAATGTTTGTATCAACTGTATTGCTACAATCCCTGTTCTCCCGACTCTGAAAGTTCCTTCAACGTCTCAACCATTGATTACTGTGCCAAAGCAGCTTACACTGAGCTCCAATTGGGAAGTAAAGACTCCTCCATTTTGTTAAAGTTTTTCCATTAACTGCAGGAATTCACTCACCTTATGAAATCTTTCAGTGGCTGATTCTCACAGAGATAGAGGATGTTTTCAGATTGACAGCAAAACGTGTTCTTAATTCTTTTAATCAGATTCATTGCAATCACAGTTTTTCCGGTCCCAGGTAAACCATGAACAAAGAGCTTCTTGAAATTTTCAATGTCATATTTTGAGTGCAGAATCTGGAACTGGTCAAGAGTGAGCAAGTTAAAAAACTTGCATCCAAGCATATCACTGTGAAGTGATTTGAAGCTCATCACCACAATCATTAAGGAAAACAGTAGGGATTTGACTGAGATATCTTTTAAGGTATATTGGTCAGGATACTTGAGTTCCAAATTGAAGCCAGTGCTCTCATCTCTTGGAATTAAGGCACCTGTGAGGGAATCAACTAACTTTGGAATGACACAGACCCACTCTGAATATCCTCCAATATTTACCAGCTTCTGTTTCAGGTGCAAAGCAGTTGAATTTACATAATCCCACAAGTCATCGCTGCCACTCTCTACAACTGTGTAAAGAATAGGCAGACTGTCTGTACAGATCAATAAGGCATCACATATGACCCTGTTGTTCTTTGGTAAGTCAATGTCAACAGCCCAGCTGCGAGAGAAGATCAGTACTCCTTCACCTCTGTTTGGCTTCTCAAGGTTTTTGAGGTTTGGAAAGTTCTTAAAGAGGTCTGTAGTGAGGGGCTCTGGTATATTCTCTATCCGTCCATTTTGAACTGTAAAGAAATGTTGTAGATTTTAATAAATGCATATGAAATATACAATGTACAATTTATTTGCATTGCAAGATCTTTTTATGATATGTCCCTGTTCATATACTGTAGCAGTGCTTTGAATATTGGTAGGTTGTTCTTTTACAGGACTTTGTAAAATACAGTACTTAAGTGAAACAATGTTTTCTAATGCAAAAATAATAATGAAATATGCTATGTGATAAATCATGTATATAATATATGATAAAATGAATTTCATTCATTCTATCATGACAGAATGAGAATGCATTTGATTGTGGGAGTATGGAATAAGCTACCCAGCCATATTGTTGAAACTGATTCCCAAGATGTTTCAAGAAACAGATGAAAAATATATTTGGATCAACAAGCAACTAAGTACCAAACAGGATGGATGGGCTAAATGGCCTCCTCTTAATTTGAAACCTTTCTTATGTTCATAAAAATCACAAACAAGGTTCAGTTTGTCAAAAATGTTGCCTCTCTACAAACTACAGTAAAACCAAAAATGTATTTAAAAATGTTTGAGAATATGGACACTTAAATCAGATTAATTCATTTGATTGGGAGGTAAAGTATCTGATTAATGCATTATACATTTTATATTATTTTTACCACCTATCTGACCAACAGAAGCAAGTCAAAGTATGTATATACAGTATATATACACTATTTAAGATAGATGTGATGCAACATATAAGACAATGCATTACACTCTGCCAACTGCAATTTTTGCTTTACACTCAAGCAATTTGTTATTGTGATTATAAGATTAATATTTTTACAAAACTGGGGGAGTTGGGAAACTTGAGAGCAGGAATAATAGCTAATAGACAATTAAAATAAACCCAAGGTCTAATTTTGAGTCACGTAAGTTCTTTATTCTCCACCACAACTTGGGTGAATGAATAATAAATCAGTAGCAAAGTTGAACAAGCAAATATTTATCATAAAAAATACAACTAAAGGGCACAAAACATTTCACAATGTACAATATTTCTTTGTCTCTTTATGTGTTGAATGTTTATTCGTTAATATGATTAATCAAAGTAATACACTGAAAAACTCAGTTTGTTCAGCTCAGCCCACTTGAAGCTACTTTAGGAACACTTTTTTAGGCTATAATACCACACTTAATAATTGTAGTTTAACAATTAATGATATTGTTACAGCTGTAGGTGACTACAGATGTGTCTCAAAGAATCTAGAAACAATGTGTAATGACTAGGTAGTGCAAACATTTCCTGCTTCAAAGCAAAGGGGATGTACAGTAGGGGTCCAGATTCAGTGATCAAAACCATTTTAAAGTTTTACTTAGTTTACCTTAGTTAATTATGTTCTGGGTAAGTGATCAGATCAAGATAGAACAGAAGACCAGAATGCAAAGAGAGGGGGAAGACAGGAGGAGACAGGACATAAAGCACATGCCAGGTGAGAGGTCCTTGTCAAGATCATACCAAAAGTCAAGATTTGAGCTAAGTATTTGAACCTTTTAAGGAAGCTTGCCATTGTGTAGTTTTTAGGGAACTCTGATTTCCCAAGTGAAGAGTCCCTCAACTAAAAACAGCCTCTCCTGGTTGTGGGTGCATTTAAGAATAGGGAGATAGGGTCCAATTTATTTATTAACCTAGCATCCAGGTTTTAACTGCAGAGATTTAACTGCAGGTTGTATTCTATTTACTTTAAAATGCAGCTCATCTCTTATTCTGGCCTTTGTAGGAGCCTGGGATTTTCCTGGATGGTAAGGATATTTTTCCTCTGGGACACCTTGTCTGTAAACTTGTCCTGTACATAGATAAACTTTAATATTTATGCAGCATGCAGTATAGTGTGTGTAATGTCTTTGTTAATAAATGTTTGTTTAACCAAGTGTGCCAGAATTATTAGTATTTTCACCAAAGCTCTGCCAGTGAAAAAATAATTAATGTGCCTCTAACTATATCAAACGCTTGGCAAAGAATTTCAAATTGTTACACAATTGGTAAACTGAAAGGGTCACAGATATCCTGCAGTTTTTCTCTCAATAGGGTATACAATCAAATACTGAATTTGTCTCTCTTCTTACAAAGTTTACTTTAGTGAAAGTGTCCCAATACGTATGGTAATTTAAAATCACTGGGTTGAAAAAAAAATGGAGGGCACTGTACAGTACTGTTTCACACTTCACAATTTCATGAATGAACATGAATGAACAGCTTTAGAAACATACCTGGGTAAAAAGTTGCTTGCAGGTCATTTAAGTGAGCTGTGTTTCTCAATTCATACACTGGCTGGCACTGAGGGGGAGCAGTGGACAGAGGGAACACCTGTTTGAAATGACCACACAGCTTTTCGATCTCTAAGGGCAGAGAAAGAGTTTTGAATGTTCTAGGGGTGTAAGTAGACATACAGTACTGCTAAACATAAAGGTATCTGTGCTTTGCTGTCACCTGCAGACTTGGGGTTTACTACACTGTAGCTGAACCAAGATCATTGGTATATAGTTGCAAGAAAAAGTTTGTGAACCCTTTGGAATTTCCTGGATTTCTGCATTTATTACTCATACAAATGTGGTCTGATCTTCAACTAAGTCATAATAATAGACAAACAAAATCTGCTTAAACTAATAACACACAAACAACTGTACTACTTCTTGTCAGTACTGAACACATTGTTTAAACATTCACAGTCTAGGATAGAAAAAGTATGTGAACCTCTAGGCTAATGACTTCTCCAAAAGCTAATTTGAGTCAGGTGTTCCAATCAATGAAATGAAATTGGAGGTGTGGATTGGAGGTGCCCTGTCCTATAAAAAAGGCACACAAAGGTTAGTTACTGACAGAGTCTGCTCTTCTCAAGAAAGAGCTGTGTGTGTGAACCATGCCCAGAGGATCTTAGAAGAAGAATTGTAGAGATGCATAATGCTGAAAAAGGCTAAAAAATCATTTCTAAAGACCTGGGTGTTCATCAATCCACAGTAAGACAAACTGTCTACAAATGGAGGAAATTCAGTACTGTTGCTACTCTCCCTAGGAGTGGGAGTAACTGTAAATTAGGAAGAGCACATGTCACAAAATACATAGAATCCTTAATATATAATACTTTTGACATTGTAACCCAGTCTTAACAACCAATTTTTAATGCAAACACACATTTTAGGTATCCCTCCTATCTTGAAAGCTGTTTGAAAGATCTGATAATGTACTATAAATAATATCAGTGTTTTTGCTTTTCAACTACTGATTTTCAGAGTTTAATTTACCTACACTTAGTCCTTTGCAGCATAGACACCGACTCAGCTCCCTACTCTAACCTCTATATCCAATCACTCATTTGCTTCAAGTGAAGCATCGACGACAGTGCTCCTGAAAAGCATAATCTAGTTTGTATTACAGTTCAAACTAAATTACCATCTTATTTATTGATTAGGAACTTTTACATAACATATATCAATTAGGCAAGAAATTTTCATTCTGAATGTCATCAGGTGAAACATAAAGATGACACTTGTCACAGCTGGTTGCTGAATATGGGTGGTCATAACAGCATCTTTGACTGGATAGAGCAGGTTAGTATTCAAATGAATTTCTTACCTGGATCAGTACGAGACATTTCTTCTACCCAAAGAGTGGCAGTGATGCGTCCTTCAATCTTCCAAGATTCTGGTTCTTTGGCAAACACTATACAGCAAAACTTGTGGATCTCTAGACCCAGTACAAAGCCTTTGGGTTCACCATTATCACCCAAAACATCTATGATATTAAGGGAATGGGAAACATTCTTCGGTTTATTACATTGATCAAAGTGTACTGATGGGATTTTATTAAAGACACAATTAATAAATTCCTCAATGCTTTCTCGGGTTTCATTTACACCACAGCCCACAACTCTTTTTGATTTATCATCAATACCAAAAAACAGAAATCCCCCATCTGTGTTCGCAAAGGCTGAGATGTATTTTGGAAGACTTTCTTTCAGCCTCTGCAACATCTTTTTAGTTCTAAAATCCTTAAATTCCACATTTACAGATTCTCCAAAATCCAAATACTCGTTGAGTTTAACACTCTTCCTCCCACACAACTGTCTTGCAGATTCTGTTATCCTGTCAGGGGAAGTGTGAGCAATGCGCTGCCTCTTTGCTGCTGGCTCTTCTGCATTGACTCTAGCTGAGTTTCTTTGGCTTTGCAAGAATTCCAACACCTTGTCAGGTCTGACCTGGATAGCTGAAGTCCCACATCTTTTGTAAATGTTTGTGACTAAGCTGCACAATCGGGGTTTACCACTTCCTGCAGACCATGATTTCACAAAAATAATGAGACCTTTATCTACAGAAAGATATTGGAAATTATCTTGTATTTTATTGGGCTGAACGAGTTCCCGTAGTGCTTGTTCTATATCCTGTCCTGTTCCATCCCTATTGTACATGTATTCTTGGTTGTGACTGTGTGCCAGAATTAATCCTCCACCTGAATTCAGCAAAGCACAGGCTGCCCTTGTGATCTCCATCTTCTGTTTCTCTAGTTTATCCGTATTTTCCCCTTTTCTGGCAGCCTCTCCTAGTGTTATGATCCCAATATTTATAACCTGATCGGGGTAAACCGTTGACACTAGGGGCAGGTCAGACTCCATCCTCTGTTAAAACACAACAAGATTGATTCTCTGTAATGACAACACCTTTACATAAACTACCGTACATGTTGTTCAACTGGATTTCAAAGGATATATCATTAAAACGTGTATGTTACAACTTCATAGAAACAGCATCCCGAAATGTTTCACAAAAATGATGTTATCCACTTTATCCACAACAAATAGGCTCACAAACAGCCTCATAGTAAAACCTCTTTTTAATTTTAAAGTGGACTGCTCAGTCTGTAATTACAGTATATTACAGACAATTATGACAATATACAGACAATTATGGTTTTAGGAGTAATTGTTCAACAGTAAAACTCACAAATTCGGAAGAAAAAGTTAATGTTGTGCCAGACAAATTGGCAGTGTCTAGATAGTGTCTAGATAGCAAGAAAATGATAAAAAACAAAATTACTGTAGCACTAACCTGTGGTTTTCAGATCCACAGTCAGATAAGATTTCCAGGTTCTGC